TGCTGCAGCTGGCCGCGGGCGCCGACCACGCCAGCTCCCGACGCGCTCGGGCTCTCCTTGCCCGCCGTCCTGCTGGAGAACTACGCCACGGACGCGGGGTGGCCGCCGCCGCCCGCCTGCTGTCCACCGTGGACTTCGTAGACACCGTGCAGCCGGCTTGCGGCGCCCTGGCCGGCCTGCGCTCCCGCGGCGCCTGCCCCTTCAGCCTGGCCCTGCTGGTCAACGGGCTCCCGGACCTGGGGAGCGCGCACGGGCGCTCCTAGGCGCCCTGGTGGCCTTCTGTGCGGCCTTCGGCCTCTCCCGCGGCATGGTGGGGCGCTGCAGTTCAAGGTGCACATGGCGGCAGAGGGTGCGCCCCGCTTCCCTAGCGCGCTGGGCCTGGTGCTGCTCGTGGAGACTGGGGCTGTGCTCATCCGCCTGTCTGCACAGGTGCACGCGCAGGAGGAGGGGCGGCTCCGCCCATTGCCCCCAGGTCTGAGGGAAGCCCCCTTCCTGCCCCAGATGGAACAACCAGAACTGACGGGGAGCCACCCAGAGCGGGACAGCTTGGTGGGGTGGACGCACCTTCTCCAAGCCCTGTCCCCTCCCTGGGTGGAGAGCGAACTGTGGCCGCCAGGAGAGGTGCCCAGGGACCCAACACGGAGAGCTGCTGCCCGGCTGGCTCCTTTCCCGCAGCTGGCACCAAGGCCTTGTGGAGTGCACTATCTTCTCTTCTTGGATGGGGAAACTGAGGTGCAGAGGCCAGCCACGGGCACGGCCCAGAGTGAGAGCGGAGCTCTGCATGGCACCACACCTGTCCCTGCAGATGGCAGCGCGTGAGTGCACCGGGCTGGGCCGGCTTTTTAGGACGCCTGGGATGTGGCAGTGACTGTGGGGGCAGGAGCAGAGTGAGGGTGCACAGTCCGTTCTCGGGGACCCAGGGGTGCTGGGGTGTCCACTGGGCACACTGCCTGCAGGTTGCCCTCATGAGGCGGTCAGGGGGCTTCCTGCGGTCAGGGGGCTTCCTGCAGAGGCAGGACTCCGCGGGAAAGGCACCAGCCTGCGGCCGGAACAGTGTTCCTGCAGAGGCAGGAACTCATCAGAGGTGGAGGGGACGTGAGGGTCTTCTGGCTGCCAGGGCCTCAAGCAGGTGGCCTGTCTGTGAGCAGGACGATGGTGGGGTGGGGAGGTCGCCTGTGCTGGGGCCCAGGCTGCCCCCAAGATGGGCGGAGTGGCCGGTCTTTCCAGGGCTGGGCTATCAAACAGCCCAGTGCTCTGGGTCATCTTACCAGACCGAGTGGGAACGGCCAGGCCCCCGGCCAGGCCCCCAAACAGCCAAAGCCACAGACCAGATGCCCCCGAGACTCACTGACCCTGGGGAGGGTCTAGTAGGCACAGAAAGCTCCTGGGGTCAAAGGGCGGGACAGGGATGGGGCAGGACCAGAGAGATACAGGCAAGATGGTGTGAATGGCCATAAGTCTGCCCCCTAGAGAGAAAGTGGGGTTCACAGAGGACCCACATGTTAGGGGAAGTATCTGCAATTAAAAGATTTTCCCAGCAAAGATGGGTCAAACACTACACGACATACACTTCAGCGACATCTTTAAAGACAGAGCACCCAACGCCACAATAGTGAAGGCAAAGATAAATAGATGGGACTA